TCAAGAATTTATGGGGGACACCTTTGCTCCACAGACACTGCCATAGTGCTTGGCGGTCCACAGAGTCAAAGGCAGCTTTCAGATCAAGAAAAACAACCATTGTTGGTTGCTGGAAGCAGTGTCGCCGTTACAGAATCTGTCGGGGGGTGAAGATATGGTCGATGCAACCTCTTGCAGGACGGAACCCAGCTTGGTTTTCACGGATCTGCCTCTCCCTGTGTTCAGTCAATCTTCGAAGGATAAGACCAGAGAGCACCTTCGATACCACAGCTAACAGACTGTTGCCACGGTGGGTTCCACACAACGTGCACGTACCCTTTTTGAAGGTAGGGATAACTGTCGACTCCCCATTCCTCAGGGACTTTCTCTTCTTTCCATACAGCACCAATAAGCTTTGTCAGATGGTCTCCAAAGATTCTCCGCCTTCTTTGAAGAGGGCTGGATACAGACCGTCCGGTCGTGGTGCCTCCTCAGATTTTATTGCAGATATTTCATGCTTTATTTCGTCTTCCGCAGGGCGATCAAGGTTTATATTCCATTCGCCTGTATGCATTATCTCCACAGGCTGTGTTGCAGTAGGCCAGCCAAACCATTCTTCGAAGTGTTCGGCCTATCTTTTCAGTCGGCGTTTTTGTGAATGAGTCACTGAGCCATCTACTTTACTTATAGTTTTGCTGACCTCGCCGACATCCAGTGGTCTTGTGGTCGAATCGGAGAAGTCGGACAGACAGCACTGAACGCCGCTAACGTAGTTCCTTTCACATTTTGCCACGCTTCATCCACATGCTCACTGCCACCACAGTATTGATTTACTCTGGAGAGTTGTTGGGCTAGCTCAGATAGGTACTGTTGAGCTATGGTCGTTCTTCGAAGATAGGGGTTGGCATACTTTTTGCTACTTTGTGAGGGCCTGAAGAGAAGCGGACTGTCAGACGTACGCGCACCATGGCGTCGTCGGAATCAAGGGGTGTGCGCAGAAGGAACGGCAGTCTTGAAGCTTGGCTGTTGGCCACTTGTCCACCTGGGTCCACGGTTGAATATTAGTTGAAGGCTGCCAGGTTACGCGATGCGAACGTTTATGTCGAAAGTTTGTGCCTGCCAGAGACAGTTCATG